TGCTAGACCATGGACCCACGAGCCAAAAAAATGGAACAACATCGACAGTATAAAAAAGGAAAAAAGCGTCCGTGGACGGGATGGAGGACACCAAGGCCCTCAACTACCGACTCTATCATTAGAGGATTGCTCGTCTCAAGGCCACGGGAGAGTACGAAGCGTTCAAGACACACAAAGCCACGGTGGGAAAACAACGGTACCACAATTTGTCCGAAGAACACCGGGCCGAAGTGTGCCGTAAGAACCTGCTGTGTCAAAGGGTGTGGAAAGAAAAAATGGTGCAGGAGGAGACGTTTGAGGAGTACCGGGCGCGATTGAATGCACGGAGGCGCGAACAAACGGCCGAGAAAAAGCAAGCCATGGGAACTGAGGGATGGAAAAGGCATCAACAGTCTGTCTATGTGAAGCGTGCAAAGTCAGAACAACGTAAAAAGTGGAAAGAGCTGGAGAAGCATTTGGCCCGTCCCTTTCCCCTGCCGTGGTTGCCGCTTGAATGGGCAGAACATGAGGAGAAGGAAAAAGACACTGTTGAAACCATTCGCGCGAACGCGTTAGAGTCCATGGACCAATACTTGTGATGAAATGTGAATAAAAAGGAAGCATGTGTGTACATAACGTGTCTTTTATTTGTTTGAAACATGGGGGACTTTTAATACAATCTTACATGCCCAACTTTAGTTTAGCTTTCATGTTATTTTTAACAATACGTTCCGTCAGTGTTTCACGGTCAGGTAGTTTATCAATCTTGCAATCATCTTGCGATCAGCGGGCCCATTTGTCTTTCAAGTCTTTAGCCTTGCCATAGTCAATGTCATGGGCTTTGGCAATCCCGTCTAACCGGTTGATGCCTGGATCACCGCGGGCCAGTCGTTTTTCCAAATGGGTCCCAGGTCCCATGTACTGATAGCCGGGCCAGTGAAACTCCATTCCCGTCTTGGTCAATAACTTTTGAACATCAAATAACCTGCCCCCGCGTTGCGAACGTAATCGTCGCCGGGATCTAGGCGCAACACGGCGTCTCTGGGTCCATCCCATCACGGTGTTTTCCACGTTTTCCTCTCCAAGGCTTTTTTTGCTAGACTTTTTCCTTTTTGTTTGGCCACTACAGCCCCCCTCTTTCGTATGTTGCGCTTAATCGATTTCTTAATGGAGGCCACACGATCACTGGGTGTATCCAAAGGTTCTGGCCCAGGCTCCTCTGAAAAGGGTAACTCTTTTCCCAACTCTTCGGTGCTCACCTCGTGAGTGAATCGAAGTTTCTTTTTTTGCACTCGGGATGAAACTGGGTTTGGGTGGTACGGGTGGTTTTCTGGCGGGCCCGGGGGATCCCCCAGGAGAGGCACTCTGTTTTATACCCTGGGCTGTCATGACCAATTGTGTCAACCAACACGGAACGAAAAATTGGATTTACTGGACTTTTGACACGAGTCAAAAGTTAAGTCAAATATGGTATTGGCTTTGACTTCACCTTTGACGCGCGTCAAAGATGTCGCCAAATATATAAGCTCTTTGCTTACTCCTTTGACCTCGGTAAAGGTGAAGTCAAATTGTTAACAACTTTGACTTCTCCTTTGACGCGCGTCAAAGATGAAGTCAAATGAATCAATGCTTTGCTATTCCTTTAACCCTTATCAAAGTCGTTGTCAAATATGCTGGTAACTTTGACTTTACCTTTGACGCACGTCAAAGATGAGGTCAAAAGTGTAGTGGCTGTGACCATACCTTTGATACTAGTCAAAAATGAAGTCAAATACGACCGCTACACTTTTACAACACTCTTGAATGGTGCTGAAAGGTGAGAGCAAATATGCAATGAATTACGTCTACAAACACTTATGTCGAAACTGATATTGAGAAAGGAAATTAAAAAGCTGTATTTGAATACTGTTTTAAAGATATTTATACGACAATACCGAACACGGGCGGGTAATCATTGTAATTGCCATTTTATAGTTATATTTGAAAATGTTCTAGAATATGTACTTTTTCGAAGGGATTTTTTTTGTCTTATCTTGAGTGGATCATTTTCTCCTTGATCGATCAATATACCATGTAATGACAGCGACGTAAAACAATGACTCAACAATTGGACGATGGAAGACTGAACCCAAGCAAGACACCCTGTTTTTGGCGCGAAATTGTCGCGGCTGCAAACTCTCTCCGCCCGCGCAAACAAACAAACTACGCAGATCTGAAGAAAACAAAAGCTGCTTTTTTGTACGAAGCAGTCCAGCTTTTGTTAACAAATATTTTCACCCTTATCTTTGATAGAGTTTAGACCACAAACTTGTTCAAAAGGTACGCGTCATTCTTTTCTATGTGTTCATGCAATAGTTGTTCTTCAAGCTTCATAGTTGTTTTACTGTGTTAAGCTTACGGAAACCAACTCCGAACAGGCGTGTATGTCGTGCTTGGGAGCTTTTCTGATTGTTAAATCTGGTTCAGTAAACTATAAAAATTTTTCTATATTACAGTAGAGTTTGCATCAGATCAAGCCCATTTTTCTTAATAGGGTTAGTGCATTTCTGCAAAAGTAATAGCTGGCTTATATTTCACAATGCAATTCAAGTCAAAACTCCAGGCGAGAACCTACTAACATCAAGATTATAAACCAACTCTGGTTTTTCTAACAGTTATACTTAACTGCGAAAACTACTTCAGGATAATGAAATAATATAAGACTTACATATATTTTTTTTTCATGGACAGTGTACTTCAATAAAATATCTGTACCAGACTTTGATGGGCATATTACTGAAGAAAGTACATAAGCTTATTTGAACAGGATTCAGTGCAGTTTATCAAACAAAGAAGTGTGGTTATTTGAAGACTTCGGATGTTTTACAGACGTGAGTATCTCTTCCTATTGATTTTTCTGGGTGCTATACGTAATGGGGCTCAGGCTGCTTAATTTTTAAAATATTCCATTGATTTTTGTGCACCACAGTGGCAGCTAGGTATGTTTCAACAATTAATAATAATCATTCAAACATACCGAGCTGTCCCTTCTTTATTGTGACTGGACAATAACTTTAAAAATAGCCTGCGTAGCAAGCTTTTCCGCGCGAGTTTTCTGCAAGAGACTAAGCTTGAAGAGGGCAAAAAAAAAAAAGAGGAAGGAGTAGCAGGGAGGGGCTAACTCGGGCAATAACTCTATTGGAAACGCTTGTTATGCAGGCTAGGTATAATATAAAGTGTTTCTTTAGTTTAATTTTAAGCTTTGGGCATGGAGGGAAATTTTCATTGAATTTTTCTGGACTTTATTAAGTGATAATAAGGCTCGATTCAAACGTCAAATTTCACAAATGACGATGCATGTACACGAAATGTAATGTTCCCATTCGAAAGCATTAGGTTCGCTACACATTTTTAACCGGGTCTTTAAGTTTTGATAAAGGTAAAGAGAAAGGGGAATTTTCTGCACGAAAGGAGCGATAATAAAAAGGGAGTGAGGCCGAAAAATTTATTTGAAACACTACGACTGAATTATTTCACAGATAAAAGAAACAAGGAAAAGTGATAAGTCTCCAGTGGAACGAAACACACAACAGAGGAAGATTGAAGTTAGATACATGGCGTTTGTCTTTCACTTACATCAAGAATCAAAAGCACTCTAGAATGAAAATCTTCGCAAAGATAACATCAAGACAGATGGCCTCCTGATCAAGAACATTTCTTACTTACCCTGATTTTTGCACTGGCTTGCGTGAAAGAAGTGTTTTAAACCATTTTGCAGGTTGCCGTCCGTGACAACAGCGTGTATCTGGAACATTTATAGTGCTTCAAAAATTTGCGGCAGTCATTATGATTGTCAATTGACAGACTGCAATGAATAACTCATTTTTATGCGTTTAAGTTTTAATCGGAATTATTCAGCTTTCTAATCATCTAATGAGCTTTTAGGACAATAAAGTACAAGATTAAGAACTCAGTCTCTTATCTGTCCACCTTTTTAAACGGTATCCGGGTCGCAATTGAATTTGATTGAAATCTCAAGTTGGATTCTAGCCTGTATATCAAGCGCTTATGACTAGCGAGGCAATAACGCGGCATTCGCGCGAAGCGCGAGGCGAACGCGGAGTTCACGTGAAGCGCGAGACGAGCGAGAGGCGCGATGCGAGGGGAGGAAAAAAACCAAGCATATTTGGCAACACTTTTATTAAACCTTTGACTTACATCTCACACACATTTGACGACAACTTTGTCACACATTTGACCTGAGGCTCAGACACATTTGACGACACTTTTCACAAGCCTTTGACTTTAATCACAGACATAACTTTACCGCGCTTTTTCACACCTTTGGCCTGAATCTCAGACATATTTGACGACGCCTTTGATAGGGGTACAAATGCTAATGAAATATACCTTTAACGCGCGTCAAAGGTAGGGGTTAAAGGCGTGACAAAAACGGCCTTTATCGCCTGAAGACGTCGCGCGTAAAAGTTGTACAAAGGTGTGCAAAGGTGGCCTTTATCGCCCGTTTGACTTCACCTTTGACGTTCGGTAAATCCGTTTTTTCGTCCCGTGCAAGCTTGCACGGGTCCAGCATCAAAATCATCCTCTCCTGTCAGGGTCGCAGTGCTACCCGTTCCACCCACGCCACTGACAGGGGCACCAAACGGTTGGCGTACTTTTTTGGTCCAATGGCGTAATTGACGACCCACGGCTTTGAGTTGAGGCCGTTTCCAAGCGTGTGGGACATCACTGGCCAATAACACATGTTGTTTGGCCGCCAAATCCGCTGCTTTGGTCAAGCGGGTATCTTCCACCAACTCTTGTTTGTATTTATCCCGTAATTGTAAAAAAGGCGGGGCATTGTCCACGGGGGTGCTCACCATCTCTTGTTCCATGGTGCAACTGAGGCTCTTTGTCTAACCCATGCAACGTTTATAACATCGGTATAATTCGGACCAGAGGTTCCCTCATTTTTGAGACATCATGAAGGCGCGAAGTTTCACCGAATGAGCGGGTTTGGCCATGGCTCGTAAACTCTGAGCATGGGATTTGAGCAAAGTAATCGTGTGTCGAGAACGGGGCACGGTTCCACGTTTCGTGTTCATGACCAATTCACTGATCGCATTGATCTGATCTGCACTGGCCATCCGTAACAATTCCTGTCGTTTATGATTGTCAGCTTCTTGTAACACGCTTTTCAAAAACGCGCGCGTGACTGCGGGTATCAATTTTTAAAAATACCCCGAAAACAGTATTTAAAATCTGTTTGAAAATAAATTTGGTTGACTTTTTTCCTTTGAAGTATATTTCATAGGACAGCCGAGCTTTTTCAAAACACCCTATAAACAGCCTGTTTCAGTTAGGTTTGGAAACAGGTTTCCATTTAAATACCTTTTAAATGAGGATAGTTTGTGAAAATACAGTAAAAACAGCTAGTTTTAATCCTGTTTGGAGAGATTTCAAGATGTTCGTCATTCAAATCACAATTTAAATTGAACTGCCTCTTAAACCTTCTTCGAACATGTTTTAACTATGCTATTTATGAGCTGTTTAAGGTCGTAGACGAGGAAGTATATTCAAAATAGTCTTTAAACATCCTAATTAAAACCTGATTTTGAACTTTACTTGTAAAAACTACTTTTTAAATCTTTGATTTTAGGTTCTTCTTTCCAAAATGCAGTTTAAATACGGTATTTAAAAAAATTTTAGCAACTTGCCAGTACTCTCTTTCCGAAAATATAGTTTAAATACTGTATGTAAAATGTAGTTTTGATAGCAAATATATTTCAAGTACAAGGAAAACCTGGGAAAATGTTTTAAATATTATTCAAATAGATGTCAAATACAATTCAAACTTTTAACGCTATTTTGGTTTTAGTCGTGAAATATAATAAAAATACCTCAAATTGTGGTAAAAATAGTTTTTAAATCATTTAAATAGCTTTAAACTATTTCACAAACAGTTTTAAAATACACTTGATTTGGTGCGGTAGTTTCCCCAACACTTGCAATTAATGATTTTCGAGTTACTCAAGTCGCTACTGCTAAAACTCTTGGATTGACCATCGATGATGATCTCGATTGGGGTAGCCATATGGAGAACATAATAGAGAAAGTATCTTCTGGCATCGGGGCCATTAAGCGAGTAAGGCACCTTATCCCCCAAGCGACCTTACAACTAATTTACCAACCTCGTATTGACCCTCACCTCAATTATTGCAAGACAGTTTGGGCAAGCAGAAGCATTCGTGGAAAGCAGCTTTTTTTAAATATTTTTTATAATGTAGAAGGTTTATGTTTTCTTATTTGAACTGTAATTTTTTGGCTGATGAATTGACCGTGAATAAATAAAGATTATGAAATAAAGATTATCTATCTCCCTATTTATCTATTCCAATAAATAGACGACCGGAAGTGAATATTACCCAGAAATTTTGGTTAAAGATGGCAAAAAAACCTTACGCCAACATTTTATTTTGCGTAAAATTGTCTAAATGTTTACGTTATAAGCCTAGAATTGTATCAAGTTATAACAAGTTAGCTATAACAGCGTTTAGCTACTTCACGCCATGTGTGAATGTTACATTGTAAGGCCTACATTCATATAATAAGATGTTTACTATTTAGAAAAATGACATAAAGCGAAAAATATCTCCCATATTCGTGCGCAGAAAACATCAGCAACTGTCGTGATTGACTCAAGTTGCTTCAGAGAATCGTATCAATGATTTGGAAATGCCCTATCTGCCTGCACGACATTTCGTTTGATCTTAATGAGCTACCATTTGCTTCTCTGTCCGAAGCCCTTCGCCGAGCGAAACTCGAAATCGATATGTTTAGACTTTAAGGGCTGTGGAAACTCCTGGTTTCTAATATGTGCGTGCTATCGCTCATATTTAATTTATTTACATTGCTAGGAAACAAAGACTGCCTAAGCCGAACGTGAGAAGTATTGAATATCGATCAATGAAAAACTTTGATGAGCCAGCTTTTCTTTCGTCCTTAAGTGACATTCCATGGGACACTGCTTACACCTTTGATGATGTGAATGATATTTGGTGCCACTGGAAAAGCCTTCTCAAGCAAGCTATTGATCATCATGCTCCACTCAAACGCGTGAACCTTAAAAGCAATCACCTGCCGTGGATCAACCCTGCTATTCAAAACCAAAGACGCATCAGGAATCTTTTGTACGAATGAAAACTGGAATAACTATCGATGTCAGCGAAACAAGGTCACAGCTCTGAAAATACAGTCACTTAAAGGTTTCTGTTTTGATGCAGCGGCTGTTACTTCTAGATGCTTGCCTGGTTTATTCTGGGAATAAACTGAGACCACTCCTACAAAATAGCAAGTCCAGTGTCAATACAAGTTCAATTTGTTTACTTGAATATGGCAGAATGGTCCCTGGCACCACAATCTAAATCCAAAAGATCTGTTTTAGCCCCAAAAATGGTGCCGTTTGGGTGAGTAAAATACAGTACTATTTTGGGGGCTAATGTAGCCCATTTAGAATGGAGTCGTTTTGACCCTAATAAACAGGGTAGAAATAGCACTCTGTTAAAAGGCCAAAACGAAGAGGCAAAGGGGATGTTTTGGAAAAATACGGGGTAGTTTTGGTTTCTAATAGGGTTGAAGTGGTTCATTTTAAGAGTCAATTCAGCCCTTACAGAGCCCTTTCATGCCTTCAGTTAAGATGAAAATTGGCCCACATTTTGTGGCCAATTTGGCCCAATGGGGAGTTAAAACAAATAATGTACTTTCTAAGACTAAATCGGTACCAGTATGTCTGAAATGGAATTTCTTACCAGAGCCGTTTTCTTCCTTAATTATTTATGAGTGGCTTTCCGTAAATATCGACCCACGGTCGGCACAAGTTGAAAATTTGATTTCGCTCATATTTGGCTCATCGATAACCCTTAATGAGTAATGAAACATGCCGTAGTTAGTTTTCCCAAATAACCTGTTCTTTTGTTAAAATTCGAGAAAACGCATTTTGCCCGTTCAGAGCTCAAAATCCACGTCCGGTAAAGCGAAATTTTACACAAATTCCATTGACTCGTACGTCAAACCACAACGATTTGGCAGCCTTTGAAGAACTCGAATAGTTTTTATGACCGTTTCTTTATTATAAGGCGATAAATTTGTGAAAGCTGTAATAGTTTTGTGGCCAAAAAGGTATTGTTAAAAATAGGCCCTATTGACAATTTCTGCCGTTCAAAATTATAGGGACAAGATAAAGCAAATTTTTACAATGCGCTATAACTTAAAATTCCGCAAATTGACTTTCTACTGCTTAACTAGGCCCCAATCTATCAGAAAATCGAACCAAATCTCTGGGCAAACGATTTTAAGTAGCCTGCAAGACGTTGAGTTCAACCCCAATTTTGCAAAAAAAACGCGACATTGCCGTGGTTAAAAATAGCGTTACACGGCCCGTCACGCTAGGGTTACCGATAGATATGCTTTAAACAATTTGCAAAAGCCAGTTCGAAATTAAATCTTTCAGTAAACCTATTATTCTCATCGATTGCAGCATTTTCTTCAGATACAACATTTAGGGTCCCTGGGATAGCGTCACACACTTTCATGTTCAGTTTCAGACTGGCGATTTCCCTCAAAAAATGGTATATAAACAGAACAAAATCTAAAAACTAAAACTGATTACTGAATGAATTTTTGCATTGAGAGATATTTGCGAATTAAATCATCGCCAATCAATGCCATTTGGTTTATAAAAACTAATTTCCTTGAAGCAATTTTAAAGAATAAAAATATTTTAGACTAAGTATTGGTGCAATAGTTCTTTTCGAAGTTTTTACCCTTGCGGGCTCTCAAACCTGAAAAAAAAAGCTACGTGGATGCCCCAAGAGGAGCATATACTTGTATGAGAACGTGTATGAATCATGAAGCTACTGCATGACTATGACCCATTAAAACAAACTAAGAGTACTCTTTGGTGCTTTGCCAGGCTTACCATAAACTCAGTTTCGGGTTGCTTTCGACGTTTCAGTGGAAAATTCCTGAAACAAACGAACGTCTGAAAAGGCAATCGCCTATTGTCCTGGTTGGAAACTTCCAGGCGGAAGTTCGGATTTCATGTCTTCATACCTTTTTTGAATATTAGTTTCAGGCTTTTGCAGCCGTTTTTCATTGAACGAAACTGACTTAGGAAAATGGTAAACGCGATTATCGAAGGGAATCAAAATTAATCAGTCCTGAATTCTCCTCACCATTTGCCCAAACCGTGAAGCGACCGGTTTACCAATGTAAACATTAAAAAGGCCTTGATGCCAAGAGCCTGCGATAAAGCTTCCTCTCATCGCTATCTGCCGCCGGGGACGTTTCGCCAAAGAGCAGTGAGAGGCGGGTGTATCGCAGACTATGCGTCATATATCTTAAGTACTGTGAGGGGCCTTGTTAAGTGCATAATAGATCGTAGCAAGGGAAGATCGTTGCAATATCTCTAATTACTTATTAAGAGCTCTACCCCAGAAAAAAATAGTTTTTTTGGAGCAGTTCTTTGGAATAGCCTTCCTATATATTGACCAGCAGCAGGCGAAGTCTCTTGGGGTTTTTAGGGCCGGCAGCAAACAATTCTTCTGGAGATCTACACGGTACTTACGTAAAGCGGACTAAAGCTTTCAGTCTTCTAGTGTTCGGCTTGTGACAAAGACAAAGGCAAGGTTTTGGAGGCCTACTTGGGCGTCTAAGTTTCATGGACTAAGGTTACGGAGGATGAGGAAAGTCCTCAAGTCTGTCTTTCCTTTTTAGGTGTTCCTATTCGTTCGTTACAAGGTTCTTCTTAGGTCAGGGGCACCCAACGACAATTTTCGGGAAAATATCTGTTCGGAAGACGATTTGAGATCTAGAATTTTCGGAACATTTGCTGTAAAATTTCTTGCTTGCCTGCCTCTCCTAGGATTTCCGAACATCTAAGAAATGGTAAAATTGCCCATTTTCAACGGATTTTTACCCTAAAAAGGTCACCTAGAATTTTCGGGAGCCTTTTTTCTGGCTGAAATTTTCGAACGGGTAAGTTTTGATCCCTATAATTTTCGGATCACTAGACTTTCAGCTAGGAAATCCGAACAGATGAAAAATTTATAGGGAATAAAAATATGCCCATATCCACCGTTTGAATACTAAAACACGTTTAACAATGCTATGTTTAAGTGGTTTTGAACTATATTCTCGTTGGGTGCCCCTGTTAGTTTTCCCTATTTTTATTTATTTATTTATTTATTTTTTTGGGGAAAAGACGTTGTTCTCTTTCCAAACGCTGTTGAAAGAAACTTTCAGTCTTTTAACCTGTCATCTGCAGTTCAGTATTACAGCTAGAGTTTCCATGACACTAAAACGTCAATCAGTGCAAAGTCTTTCAGGCCACAAAGTAGCCCGTACTTTTTGCGTAAGTCAAGAAGGCGGAATAGTCGAGGTAATGGTCTGGAGCAAAACAAATGGTCGTTCCATCTTGTCTGGAGCAGAGGGGGCACGGCGGGGGAGGGGAGAGGTGAGTGAGACTGGGGAGAGAATCGAAAAATAAGTCTAAAAAATATATTAGAAAATGACAAAGAAAAAATAAAAGAAAGAAAACAAGAATGAAAAAAAAGTTTCGCAGTCTAAAAGCAGTTGAAAAGTTAGTACAACCAAATCCGTTCCTGCTGATCAATAACAAAGCGCCAAAAGTACTCGACGCTCAAGTTGAATACCGTATTTATTCGAATAAGCGCCCAACCTCGAATTAGCGCCCACCTCGAATAAGCGCCCATCCTAAAGGCAGCAAAGTTAAAGCGCCCACCCCCACCCCACTCCCTCCCACACAAACTCAAATAAGAGATAATAAGTAATAAAGAGACCCTCCCGAAGACGGAGTTTTCTTCAGAGCATTTTACAGAAACCTTGCTTTGTTACATCTCCGCTTTTTGTTATTACCATTTATTGTTTTGTTGCAAAACTAACATACTACACTTGCTGAGAATGGCGAAAATTTAATAAGCGCCCACCCTCGAATAAGCACCCACCTCGAATAAGCGCCCACTCCCAAGGTCCAAAAATTTAATAAGCGCCCAGGGCGGTTAATCGAATAAATACGGTATATACCATAAAAATCTGTAAATAAACGACGTAGTTAACCTGTAACCGGCCTTCAGGTAGTTGGGGAAACGCAAAGAAAAGTGGGCTAGAAAAAATGGCGAAGGGGCGGCGTTAGGGAGAGAGGGCGAAAGAACCTCTTTTCCTCCTCCTACTCTCTCCCTCTTACTCTCTTCCACGTTTGTTTTCCTCCGTTCCCCATTTCGCGCCACTGTCCACTGTCCACTATCCACTACCCACTATCCACTGTCCCAGGAGCCTATCAAAATTTGATGGGCTCCTGACTGTCCACAGTTCACTACGCGTGGAATAGGCTAGTTCATAGTGGGCCAGAGAGTTTTTTTCCAATGGCGATGCAAGGGATCTATAGATGTCCATTTAGGAGCATTTGCCATTTTTAAAAGCTCATGATCACGCTGCAACTATTCCTGCTTTAGCATTAGTAAAACGACACTTTTTTTCTATTTTCCGTTTTGCTGTAGAGGAAAGTTTTTGGTGTTTTGTTTTTGATAATGGTGTTTCATCGTCGATCGAAACGAGTTAAAATGTTTTCTGAAACGTTCGTTACAATGTAACTTTATAAGCGTGATAGTAATGCATCGAAACGTACATTTACACTTATACATAATTACTTGAAAGAGAAAACTCGCAAGGAAAAAAAGAGTTCTAATTAGTTAATATTGGTTATCCTCGTCTTAAATTTAACGTATTTATGCCTTTTGACGCATGCTTAAATTAATAAAACACACCACTGTACTTGTTTAAAGTTTGTTTTCCTTGGGCTCCGGTCGTCGACGTCTTGCCGACTTGGGCAGTTCTACACTATATATTGTATCCAAACAAAATGACTCTTCTAAATACGATAAGTGTATTGAAAGATGTAATATAGATTGTATGCTGGAATTTGGCATGTGATCAGAGTTGAATAGAATGTTGAAAGTGAATCTGTCGTTAACACCGCTGGCGTGACGGGCCGTGTCACGCTATTTTTAACCACTGGAATGTCGCGATTTTTCGCAAAATTAGGGTTGAACTCGGCGTCTTGCGGGCTACTTAAAATCGTTTGCCCAGAGATTTGTTTCAATTTTCTGATATATTGGGGCCTA